GAGATTTAGGAATCAGCAGAGTACATATTTTTGCTACCAACAAAGTAGAGGACCGGAATACAAACATACTAGCGCTTAGTCTGATCTTGTTTAGTTTCTTTATGGACTGATTGAAGTCTAGCTTCAAATAGACTAAATCGACTCAAAATGGCTTTTGGGAAATGGTGAGCTTAGCTTTGGGAACAAAAAAAAATTGAAATGGGGCCATGTCAGTGAGTGCGATCAAATACGTTGAGTTTTTATAAACACCGCTACACTGAATAAATCATCTGGAAACCAATTTTGAGTCCCGAAAATTTCATTAAAATCAAATTCGTAGCAATTCTCAGAAAATATATCTGCAATTGAGCTTGACTTAAATAGACGAGTGTAAAGAGAAAGATCCTTTACTTCTCACACCTTCCCTATACTCCAGATCAAAATAATAATGACGAATAATAATAAGGGTAGACCAATAAAGTTATATTTTCTATTTTTCAAAAATCTTATTCACATTCATAATAAATGAAATCGAAAAACAATTTCGGCTCCTAAAATAATTGAAGGAGTTCTTAAAATGTTCTTATAACTCCACGATTACAAACTAAGAAGACAAATGCTACATTTTAAATCGCTTGTCATACACTTTAAGCAACATTCTTGGTTCCGGGAGGTTAAAAAACTGCAACTATGCAAAAAATAAATGCGAAAACATTTGCTTAATGCACAATTTTTGGCGGATTCTTTGGCAATGTTGTGGCGTCACTCTGGAGCACATTAATGTTAAACAAAATGAATAAACAACAAGTAGTAAAACAAAATAAAACTTGGTACAAAACCCATCTGAGGAATGTATAAAGTTGAACAAATATGCAGAATGCAGCGAGAATCTGTCAAAGAGCAAATTTACGACAGCCAAAAAAATTTGCTGGCAATCCTTACAGGATAACCCAAAAAAAGAACAAGGAGAAATAAATTAAAAGTTAAGTAGTAAACTTACTTTAATCCATTTAAGTTTTTAACTTAAAACAATATATATTCATTAATAAATAGAGAGAATGGTGCCGCGAGTAGCGCTAGTTTGGAAATAAAAATGTGGGAAGCAGTTTATAGAAATTACAAGTTGCAAACTATTGCAACTTACAAAATAATTTGGCAGAATCACTTAACATACAAGGATATAAAACTTAAGTCACATTCCAGCATACAATATGCAATATATAAAAAATGGAAGGAGATTGGGAACAAAAGAAAGCATTAAAATTTCATAGAAGAAAAAATTAAATAAAATAAAATAAAGTGAAATAAAATAAAACAAAAAAAAAATTCAATTTAAGCTCTTTTACGCTGTTTTTACATGGCAATTTTTATTATTACGACAAAGAAATAAAATTAAAAACAAAATGCAGAAAATAATTATGTTTCATGGTAGACTTTTAGGCGACATACACCACTGTTAACGAGATCATTTTTCATATACGAAATTAAGAATAATAGTAGACGCAGTAAACAGCCTACACACTTACAAAATGCAAACTGCATACTGAAAATGTACTAACAAGGATGTTGGATGGTTGGATGGTAGGATGTGGGCCTATACTCTTTTGAACATTAAGCGTTGTATGCATGTCTGTCCTTATAAGCTTCTCGTTGCAACGTAAATACAAAAGATGTTGGTTCTAGTAATTGCAGCACATAAAGCAGCAAGAGTGCAAGTAGAGCTTAACACTACCGCTTGTGGGTGCTTGGCAGGATGCACAGGCACAAGCAGATGCACATATGATGAAGCCGGCTTAAGCATATTAATGATATTCATGTGATTATTATCTTTCTTTTTATATGCGTTTTTATCTGTGCAGTTTCTTAGGTTGCCTCTAGTTATTGTTCGCACCAATGAATATGTACTCAGCTAGTTTTAAGTAAGAATTATGAATGTTGCAAAATGGAATGATATGTGAATAGACAAGCATGTGAAGCACTACACTTGATCAAATCGACTGGTGAGAATTAATTTGTGAGCAATAAATATTTTTTAGTATCCTTAATAGATATTTGAAAAGAAATAAAAGAGGTAAATAGAATAAAACATAACAAAATTAAATGCATAATATTGTTGTAATGTTAAAACATTTAAAAGAATCAACATATACTACTTATAAAGTTGTTACTCTTATATTAAAAATCTTCGAAAAATTATTTATGAAAATTATTGGCAATTTGCCTTATCTGATTGCTTGAGAAATCAGTAAAATCTGTAGAATCACTTAAATAAATTGGGACCTCCTACCACTGATACCTGTCATTTTTCTGATATGGACACCGAAAGGTCATAGCATATTTTTTATATATACCCTGTTCTTGACAGATGGAAACTTCACCATATAGATAGTATTGTTATGTCTCCGTGTTAATTACAAAATAATAAACCTCATACTGTTAAATTTCATGAAATGCTTAAAATTGTAGAGTTTAGGATCAAAGCTACACACAATACGTTTATTATGCTCATAATCGGTCTGTTCCCTTATAATTAATAAATTTAAGAATAGTAATAATTTAGCAATTGATTAAAATTTATCCATATACCAACTCTTCTAGTATGTGAAAACTGCATCTGTTGATGATAAGCAAGCGTTTTTTGAATGTAGAACCAAAAGAAGTGTACCAACAACAAGAAGGAGGGATTAAAAAGAAGCGTGTTTGCTATGCTTCGGAGACATGTTGTTGTCATATCTTCTCAAACAGTTGAACAAGCAGAAAATCGCATTTGAGTAAAGCCTTCCTTTTAATAACTTTATGTATTGGAATATATTGTGTTATGGCAACAATCTCTATTTTGTTTTAGACTATTTCAAATTATCCACATTCAGATGAGAAGTAATAAAGAAAAAAATTTCTTTTATCAATTTGATATCAATCGTCATATTCCATGCGTATAATCAACATAATCTAATGCTTTCTACTTAGATATTTTCCTCCTATTAGAAGATAGGGTCTGCACTTTACTCTTATATAAAACTATGATTCGTGGTTAATCTGATTCCAAAATTATTTTTCTACCTGTAGTTCCGCAAAGGCTATACCCAGTGCCATTTATATTGCCATTTTTTTTTTAGATACTCAAAGTGTTATAAATATACTAGACATATCTCAATATTGATATTAAAGTCTTGATTATTTCTAAAGAACTTAGCATACCATTTTGTTATGTAGTGTCATAGTATACACAAAGTATCCTTCTCCGTAAAATTTGTTGTCATTGTACTACTTTTGAGCGTTTTAATTCGCATAATGCAAAAGAGGTGCGTACCTGTACGCAAATTCAGAAATCCTTATTCATATTAATGAGAAATTATAAATGCGTTATGTTTAAATGACAAAAGCTCAAATATGGGCCAAGGCAACGCAACCGCAAGACTTTCACAAAACGAGTAAAAATCTTATACGTGAATTATAAACTAAATTTAAATAAAACCTGCGTTAATTATTACAAACGAGAGCAAAACACTTGACATACTGCAGCACATATTATAAATTGCATCACAGATTGTGGTATAAAGTTATATTTTTTTTGGATTGTGTAATTTATAGTACGCGCTTATATATATTTAAAGCCCAATTTTTTAATAACAAAAAAACTCCAATCCTTGTTAGGGACAAGAAAATCTATAAATTTTGGAATGCTTGAACGCGGCTTTCATAATTTATATAAAATTATGCGAAAATTGCCTGAAAGTATGCTTTAACCCATTACAGTAGCATTGTTGGGTAATTTTTTCCATAAAAAACGTATTAAATAAAAAAATTTCACACTCGGATAATTTCTGTCGGCATCAGACATATCAGGCACTTCAAATTGCGACACGCGCTCGTCTGTAAGAATTTTTAAAGATTCAGTGCAGTGAAAGACAAGCATCCATGTTGATTCTCAACTCTCAACTCATTTACCAACTCATCTTCAGACCTAAGATTCAGACTGAAGATGAGTATACTGCTTTGCATTGAAAGAACTCTTATATTTAATATAAAACAATATATATATGTATGTGAGCTTAAAAACAATGGTCAACCTGATGTGCTGGTATTTCGTGCAGCGAAACTTGTAGTGCTTCCACCTGACTGCCTGCTCGCCTACGCGTTCCGAGCTAACAATACGTGCAAAAACAATACATAACTTAGTCAGTCAAGTGTGGCATAATTTTCGGGGTTTCCGCCGAAAAGTTAGAAGATACAAAAAAGCTTTTGTTGGCAAAAGAAACAATTTAACTAAAATAAAAGAATAAAAGGTGAAGGAGAAAATATTTTTGGTTTTTTATGGGCAACCCCAACAGAATTTTTGTCTTGTGGTATATTTGGAGTTTTACCCTTTCTAGAGGTTATTTTCCTTTTTCTTTCTTTATGTGTTGTAGCTTTACCTTTAATTTTTTATATGCTTTAGTTATTGTTTTTCCTTTCTATTGCTTCTTTTTTGCACCTAAAAAGCTCTTAAGGTAATTTGGCTGTTTGTTTTTGATAATTTTGAAATCCTTTTTCTTACGCTGATTTCTCACCCTAATTTGTTAGCATTAAAAGCACTGAATATTCCGTCATTATTATATTTTATTTCCTTTTAATGCTTGGGAGATTTTTTTTGTAAAAAAAAAGCAGCAAACTTTCAATGTAGCATAACTTAATGGCATTTTATGCCTTTTCTTTCTGCAATACGAAGCAAAAATAAAATACAAGTAAGTGTGAAAAAGGATAATGATTAATATTTAATTTATCATAGCAGTGCGCCTTAAGGATTTTGCCACAAAAAAAACAAAAAAAAAACAAAGTTCTCTGAAAAAAAATATTCTTGGTTCCATTTTTTTCTGGTTATTATTTTTTGCATGACAAAGATAATAGGAATTTTCGTAGGATTTTCAGTAAAGAAATTGGCTAAAAGGATTTGTATAAATAAATTAAGTTCTTTTGTTAACGAAAGAAACAAAAGCAAAACCAACTGTGAAATTATATTAAGAATTTTATTATTTCAACGTTTATGGTCCCCATTCGATCACAGTAAAAATTATATCGATAATTTCATCCACATCAATGGAATTCTTTATGAGATTTTGTAGTGGTTCCGCAAGATTTGGGGAAGCCTGAAAGAACACAAAATGTTATATCTACACATAATAATTTAATGTTAATATTAAAATAAAATTAATAATAACATACACCTTAAGAATGAAAAATAAATTACTTAACCGTTTGTTTTATATATAAAATCACCTGATATAATAATTTTATTATGTCTATGTAGTTCCGATTTTCTAGCTCTACATTATGAATAAAAAATTGGGATAAATTTCAATATTCGTAGTAACTTTTTTCAGTACGTTGTGTCAATATACAAAACTGGAGTTAAAATGCTTTAGTAATTTTTTCCACAAAGCATTTATGTCAACATAACTTGGTTCTTGAGATATCCGGGTCTAAAATTAAAAACTTTCACATAAAAATCATTAACAGCAGATGACGCTTAAGTTACTTTTTCCAAAATGCCTTATGTCGACATAGATTGATTTATAATATGTGAGTATTCAAATTGACAAACTTTTACGTTGAAATTATCACCACTAGATGGCGTACGTAACTGTTGAGCGTTCTTTGTACTTTCTACTATTATTTTGTTTTGGAGTTCTGGAGTTAGTGTTTAAACTACTTTTACTTGCTTATGGAGAATATTACTTGGACAATTCACTTGTAAGTTTAAATGAAATTTGGATTTTTTTACTAGACTTTATCAGATTATCAGATTATGCCAAAACTTTGCCACTGGTGAAAAAGGGATAGCTAGTCTTTAAAGAACTTAGCTTTACATTCTGTTGAGTGTTCTGGAGAGTATAGAAGCGCTTGCAGGCTCTTCTAGTTCCTAATGACGACTTTAATGGAATTATAATATAATGCTTTCGTATTTCTAAAATACCATGGTGCCTTCACTTGTCTTATCAAATCTATATATTGTTATTATTGAAGTATGTTTAACGTATCCGTGTCGTTGCCAAAAGATCATGCAGCTATAAAGTAAGCTGGGCATGATTACTTGTTTTAATATTATATTTTATTCTAACTACTAATTTTTAAGGTCAATAGTGGCTTTAGTGTTTGGAGTCTAAGATTCATACAATGCTATAGTGCTTCAATTCAAATACTTTACTTTGGGCTTTCACTTAATGAGGAGTTGCTCTTAAAGAGTTTTTGTGCTCTATAAAGACCTTAAAGTTCGGACATTTAATTAACATGTCAACTTCTTTTTTCTTACAAGCTTGTTTAATAAGAATTTTTTGTCGAAAGTTAGTCCATAATATTTTACTTTAAACTCCTAGTAAATGGAGAAGTTGTTTATCAGCAATTTTCTTAGGCATTGATTTCTCTTCATAGTAAAAAGATTGCCTGACCGTTTGTGAAGATGACTTATACTTGTTGCCACAGAATGGCATATCTAGTTTATTATATCCAATCTAAAACACAATTACTTTAAGACCCAATATCTCAAGAGCCAAGCTATATCAGCGTAAAACATACTAAAGAACATTATTCAAAATATTGAAATTTAACTACATCCCATTTATTTATTATTATTTATATTTTCCCATCCCATTTATTGTACTCACCCGTGCTTTGCTGACCATTTCCCGAAATTCTGGCTTTCTAAGTGCTTTATATAGTTTAGCAAAATCTCCACCTTCATTGAATTTTTTCGTCATTAAATTAGCAATTCTTCTGCGCGGTAATATACTTAGAATTTCTCTTAAATATAATGATAAATTACGTTCCAACATCAGATCGACTGGCACATTAACAGGTAATCGAAAATTTCTCAACTTATTTGGAATCCTGTCGACAACACTTGTCACATCATAACCAGAACCATTTGTGGTAACATACTCTACAATTTCATCAAACTCATCGGTTTCACGTATGTCATCCCAAGTATCCTTGAATTCCTGACTGCGTACGAAATTGAGAGCTTGGCGAAACTTCTGATCCAATATGTAGTGCCTGGCAGCTATGAAACCAACTCTTTGACGTGGTATTAAAGACACAAATTCACGTAGGTCTGCTCTTATGTCAGCTCCTACAAACTGTGTTACAACCAAAATTAAAATCACAATTGCCGCGTACGCTGAAGGCATATTTTCAATGTCAGTGAAGAAAGTCAAGTTAACACTTTTACCCAAAATTTGGTCTTTATATAATTTTGTCAGATAAAAGTAAAAGTTGTTAAATGTATGGTTAATGAAATTGTTATGCTGTTATTTAAACAGTGTAGACGCCAAGACAAATTGGTGGGAAAGGTGTTAATTGCTTTGTAAATAAAATTTAGTTGGCAAGTGTGCTGTCTTTAATCAGTACTAATATTTCATAGAGAAAATTTCTTTTAAGCATTCAAAACTATAAACAGATAATTAATTCTTTTAAAATATGCTTAAAAATTTATAAAATATGTTAAAAAGGTGTAATAGATATTTTAAATTAATTGTTTATTATTATTAATATTTCAAGTAAAAGTCTTTTTTGGAGCTTAACTCCAATGAGATTAACTCTCATTCAAATCAGTTATCATACAAATTTGCATTAGCAAATATTTTTGGAAAATTATTTTAATTGTTAGCACTTAAAAAGTTTTTAAATATTTTACGGGTTGAATTTCTTAAAATACTTTGAACTCATCAAAACTTCAACTACTTTCGCTATGAAGTTTGAAAATTGATTTTCAAAGTTTTCACTTTTTCGAAGCAATTACATTTGAAAACAGAGCAAGGTATGAGCAGGTATGAGTCCAGGTAATATGCATTTCTGTTAAGCAGACCGTTAAAAATTGATTGGCAAATTCGTAAAGGGAAATTGTACTGAAAAGTGAAAAATAATAAAAAGAAAGGAATAGGTATGTGGAATATTTATTCGATGTATAAAAACAAAGCTAAAAATTGCATTAAAATGCCAGACATGCTGTAAAACCTCGACAGACAAATAACATTAAAATCGTACAGTATTAATGCAGACAAACTTCAAAGTCGTTCCTTCCCAATTGGAAGATTGAAAATATTATTTTTGATATAGAAAAAAACATAAAAATCGTATCCTTTACAAAGTGGACAACTTTTACTGACAGACGATGTCTAATTGATCATAAAGATAATTTTTGTAGCTAAAAATAAAAATTGAACTCATATCGATAACCATTTAACAGAGACTGCAAAGCATAGATGAATTCTTTGACATAAGATTGTAAGCAAAAATCAAATCTTTCTCTAATCACATTCTAGAAAATATTACTGAATACTTAAGAGTCTTTTTACAGAAGACTTAAAGCCAAAAACAAATCTTTTTCTGATTGAACTTACTGGAATTCAAACAATTTATTTTTCATGTTGTTGAAGTAAAATAGAGTTATGTTTCCCACCTTGACAATAAATCTATATTTATATCCTGTATTTTAGATAGTATTATTTTCACCAAAGATATCACTTGACTTATTAGATTAAAAATTTATGTTCTATCGGGTGTTTTTTTAGCTGCGTGGCAGCTATCGATATCGATAACTATGGCTTGACGGCTGAGAATGTCAAACTGTGTCCACATTTCTGTTCAGTAAGGTTTGGCAATTCATAATGGATCGTTTAAAGCTAGAACAATGCTTCCAAATTGTGGAACTTTACTTAAAAAAAAAATAAATCTGTTTGCAAAGTTCATTTTATGGTGTTAAGTAATAAGCTCATTTCTGGTTAAATGGCAATAAACAAAAATTTATGGAACGAAGATAATCCTCAAGCCGTTAACGAATCACCATTACATCTATTAAAACCGAATATTAAATACAGTGTATGGTGAGCGCTATTGAACCAAGCTGACTGAATATTTTTTTGCAAAAACATCGCCGACATTTGGAAATCAATTTGGTAACAACTTTATTTTCAGAACGGATTAAATACTTACGAAATATAATAAAAATATCATATTTAACATCTTTCTATATTATTATTAGAATTAAGTACATTTTAAAAATATTTTAAACATTTTTATGTTAACTGCTTGGCGGTTTATGTTATATTCGTTGAGAGCTCTGTTAACCTTATGTTAAAAATACAAGAAATGCTAATTAAATCAGTTGAAAAGAGCGATTCTGCGCAATGATTAAATTTGCACTATTCCCTTAGAAAAGTATACCCAGTATTTTTGTTCTAAAAATTTTAGCTATGGACGAAGATATTTGAATTAATGTCAACAGTTCCTTTTTGGTAGCTTCCTGGGCACTATCGCGCAACATGCACCCACCTATCTAGCGTTAAGCTCTTACCATTACAAGACACGTTAGGTATCATAAATATATTAAACAGTTTTATAGGTATTTATTTTATATAAATAATTCAGTACTTATATATCTATAATATATATCTATTTTATTAAGTAAAAAATATTACTTATGCGGTATTAAGACTTTCAGACTTTCTATTTGCTTATAGCACTTATACTCAAATGCATGTGAGAATGAAATATTTTTGTTACAGAAAATCAATTTTTAATTAAGTCATATAATTTCAATCAGAATTATAAAAATATTCCTTATGTTTGCTAGTACATGATCGAATATTGAATACCAGAGTTATAGATTCTCGAATCATGTCAACATTCATCACTATCTGTGAGATACAGTCTTATAAGCTAATTTATAATTTACTTCCAACATAAATATTTGAAAAAAAATTTTACCTCATTTGTTATGGTTTATATAATATATACTTATTTAAAGATAGTATTTCATCGAAAAACCCGGTTCAAGATCAAGGAAATATCTCTCAGTTAAAGAAACAAATAAGTTGCATATATCTATCAGTGGCATGGTGAGGAAGTCCTAAAAGGGGCACATATTAAAAATATTTTTTTTTTTTTGAGCTTAGTTGGAGTTCACAAAATTATTGTATTATGTATAAAATTACGTTGTCAAGAGAGTAGAAGAAATGGATGGTATAGTAACTATAATATTAAAAAAGTAATATAAATTCGATTCTGCTTAAAAACTTATACTGTCATGTACTACAAGTGTTGTATCTTACAATTGAATTATGTTTGGATTTTAAAGTAAAACAATAATGGTTTATTTATTTTCAATATTTATTTGAACTTCTTCTTTTCTTCTCCATAGCCACTATCTAAGGCGACGTCTTTTCTAGTCCTTAAAACATTTTTCCTAGGCCCAAAAGGTACTAACTTTTCATGACAATTAGCATCTTCGGCGAATTCTCTTCTATATACTGTGATAACTGAAAAATTTATCTTCGAAGTGGTAACTTGAGGCTGGGGAAAACAAAAAATTTTAGGTATTGCTAGTAACATATATAGCATTTAGCACTATCTGTGAATTGTTTTTTATGGACTCAATATATTGAGCTCTAAGTATCTATTAAGTATATATTGAGCTCTAAGTATTTTGGGTATCTATCGTATTATACCTATTATATGAGTTATGTTTGGTATTGGATTTATTGTAATTGCTTTATGTATTTGACTGATAACTTCACAGTTTAGATAATTTGATTAATTATCATTGTTTATTATTTAAATTTGATGTTATTTGATTTCGGTTTAGTTTGATTTTTATATTCAAATGTTTAAAAATATTTTTTTGTTTTTCAAAATCTTTCATCGGAAATGCAATTGCTCCTATCAATATCTCATTTGTTTACCACAAAGTAAAGTAGTGCTAATTGCAGGTCCGCATTTTTATAATTTTTAAGAATTTCTGTTCAAAAATTGATGTTTATAAATTTACGATCATTCTTAAACTACATACGAAGCTTGATTTTTTAGTCGATTTAACATACTCCTTCAAACACTTGCTGCGTATCCTTAAGCAAAGGACATTAGCATATAAAACATTAACTGCCTGAGATAAAAGTACGTTTATGGCTATTTAAATTTTAAGGCTACAAATTCATGCCGTTCGACGCCTCATAAGAATGCAACCATAAATAAAAAGTAATGCGTTTATATACACTGCGTGCCCTTGTAATTGCTCCCTGGTTCCCGTTTCCAAAGTCAAATTCATGATTGATTCTCTACTCGTAACATTAGCGATAAAAACAAATACAAATACAAATACTCAGATACTCAGATACGCAGATACAGTTTCAGCTTCAAATGCAAGCACAGAAATATAAACACTGGAACTGGAACTGAAACGCAGGATAACATAACAGGATAAAGGGCAGGACAGCGCCAAACATGCAAAATAAATTACTGAGCAAAAATGCGTGTGCGTAACATTAGAATTCAATTGGCAGATTTATGCCACTGTAAATGCGTTTCTACAAAAACAAAGCCAAATTATAAAAATTGCATGATTATAATAAATAAATTGTAGAAAAATTTTAACTGACATATTTATTAGGCACAGGGGCTTTAAATGCAATTATTGCCATTTTCGGCGCCAACCCGAAAAAAAAACTACTCTTTCCAACACAAAAAACTGTATTTAAACCTTGTTTAGGTGTTTTTTGTAACGCGTTTAACGTTTTATTAAGCTTTATGCTTTAATTACTGAAACTGCTTTTATCACCGCATAGATTAGACTCATTACTGGAACAGTCTCCTGCTGCTGCAGATGCTGTGCTCTGTCCCCTTTTCACTAAATGCCTAAATATCTAAGCAAATGATAACATCAACACTAATGTTTATCTAAATTATTGTTAATGAAATCTTTTCAGCTTACCTATACCGATGAGCACATTAAATTGTCCAGAGTAAACATTAGAGTCCTCATAAAAAGGGTTGACACAGGCTTACGCTTTTAGATGGATACACAGCGCGACAGATACAAGCGAGAACTAATAGAGAAAAACACAATCAGTTGAACGGCTGCTTGGTTGTGGGTAGCTTCAGTCATACATGGAAAAAGGCCAAACATAATCACAAAACAAATAAGCCATAAATTTGCATTCCTACAATTGGCAATTTTCTATGGGCTGAGAAAGGTAAGATTCCACATTTTTCCGCTCAACACAGCAACACAGCAACATGCGATTCCATATCATGCTACTGTATCCTGCAGCCATAACATTAATAAATGAAACTGAAATGGTCATTGTCATTGAGCGTGAGGTATGGGATTTGAAGCATGGAGCATGGAGCATGG